ACCAGCCAGGGCTAATTTTTTTTTAATAGCAAAAGTAAAATGAGTCATCATTAGCAATTCTTTATAAAAGAATTTTTATGCTGTTATAGTTGTCCCAATTCCCCCCTCCCCTTTACCTCTTAAGAGTGATTTTCTGAAAATAATGCCTCAGTTTAAAAGTGTGGGAAATTCTTACATCCAAACAGAACATAAAATCAGATTTTCTACTTTTTCCATTTTTAGTGTTTTTCATTGTACTCTTAGAAACTTGGGGAACATTTGATGACTGTTGTTAGTACTTCAAGTAATCTTGATTGTCTTTCAGAGTAGCCCTGGCTGGTGTGGCTCAGTGGATTGAGTGCTGGCCTGTAGAGCAAGGGGTCACTGGTTCCATTCCCAGTTAGGGCACATGTCTGGGTTTCAAGCCAGGTCCCCAGTAGGTGGTACACAAGAGGCAACCTCACCTTGATGCTTCTCTCCCTCTTTTTCTCCCTCATTTCCTCTCTAAAAATAAATAAGAAAAATCTTAAACAAGAAAAAATCCAAAATAGTCTAATATCTTTTAATATCTTTTTTTTTAAGAGATGGATGTAGAAGATTTGTGGAATTGAGATGGACTGGTGGTAACTCCTGACAAGTTAAGTGGATTTTTGAATCAGTGGTGATCTCAAGTTTCCTGGAGACCTTTTCAGTATGGCCCTGATACTGCAGGGATATATTATTTCTTTCTTTTTTTTTTAATTTAGTTTTTAAAAATAACTATGAAAAATGCAGAAAGCTTTTATATATTTTGGGGAAATTTGACAGCTGTGAATTTATACAGATAAGGTACTCCTAATCTTACCTTTCCTTTCTAATTGTGTACCTTTGAGGAGCATACAGATTCCTTAATCTGTCAAGGTAAAGTGGATTTATGCTTCTTTGCTGGTTGTCCAGAAGAGAGGAACAATAAAGAAGGGATAAAACCCAGGAGATAATGGATGACTTCAGGATAAGGGTGTTATTTTAAATTAAAATCCATATACATAACCAACTTCCTCAATTTTTATACAGATTTACTATTTTTAGTACACATTTATAGGTGACTATAATAAAGAGATGCTGCATTTCTCAGGTGTATTTCTTCAGCTTATACATGTCATACAGCAAACATAGGATAGTGGTGGCAATACTGCATGCATCTCAGGCATCATAAAAACAAATCTTAATCCAAAATAGCAGCAACTTTGTTCTAGCTGAGTGACTTCAGGCTACTCATTTCCCTTCTCAAGGACAGTGTCCTCACTGTCCTCAACTGTGAGATGAGACAACTGGGGACATGTCCCTTTGGATCTTGGGTCTGGGTGGCAGCAGCAGGCTTTAAAACCACTCCTGTAGAGATTCCTGTTTGGGTTCTTAAAATAGAAAAATACCAAGGGTATTTAACTTAAAAGTTTGTGAAGATGTCAGATGGGAATCAGGAATCACTTTTTTCTGAGAAAAAGGCCATGTTTTCGAATGAGAAAAAGGGAAGAAGTTTAATTCCTACTTACCTAATGAAATTTAGAGGCCTAAGATAAATAAATATTTTCCCTGTCTCTGAAATGACTGTGTCAGAGTTTTAGCTATATGAGAAATGCTTACATCATACTTTAAAGCCAGTAATCAGAAAGTTTAACCGGAAATATGCAGCCTTCCTAAGAAGCAGATAAAGTGTGAGAATGAGGTTAAGTTTGTCCTTAGAAGGACATAAAGAAGAGATGGTTTTGTAGATACTCAGCTGAACCACAGCAGCAGAAGGTCACACCAATATTCCTGATGTTACTGCACTAGGTCAATGGGGGAAAAATTATTCCAAATCTTTTAATAAAAGTGAGGATGGCAAACAGCATATTAACACCTTCCTAGTGAGTATTAGTCACCTGGAGAATCATTTCCACATCCATCCACTCAGTGTAACAGGGAACAAGTATGAACAGGAAAACAGGATTCAAAAACAATCTGTTCAGACCCTCATGGAATGCAATACCAGTAAGAATCAGTAAATCTTACAGCCTGAGGGGAAACAGGAAGGGAAAGAGTGGGTGATAGTCAAGTGAAGTTTTGTCTTAAAAGGGGTTGAGCTAGAAAATTCAAGCAAGCAAAGGTACTAAAGTGCCAAACACAGAGGCGCACAAACTCTTTCCAAATCGTTTTATTTGGTCCTTTCCCCTCTCCTGAAGCCTCTGCACATGCCTTTGTCATCCACTCAGCAAGGAGTGTCACTCTGCAAAGTGAGGATTTAGCCACAAGTGAGGTTCCATCTTGAATTTCTTAATCTTCAGATGCCCGCTTTACCGGCTGTGAGGAGGTGGGCAGGATGGGAATGGCCGGGGTAACACCCATTTACTAATCGTTGCACGATGTGGAACAGTTGTAGCAGATGTGTGTGCAGGGCCATCAGGGATGAGGGGAGGCCCAGGATGACCCTACAATGTCTATGGGGTGACATTTAATATAGTTCTCAGGAGATGAAAAGGACAGTGGCAGGGATGGCACAGGGCTGGGCCAGTCAGGTTGTGGAATGGGAGAACTGGCATTTTAGAGAGATGGGGAAAGGGAAGCACACGGACAGCCAGAGAGGTTTGAAAGAATAAGACATGTTTGGAGTGAGGCTGCTGTTTCTTACTTCCATTTCCTTTGGGTGATGCTCACTGCACATTTCTCATGGCATTCACTCCCAATCTAGATCCCAAGAGCACTCGGTTGGTTTTCTGTCTCCACTGAAAAAGTCATTTCGAGTGTAACCTGATACAGGACTCCAATTTAGCCAGTCATAGAGGACTAAGGAAGAGGTCACCAGAGGCACCCATAATATAGTCTGCTCAGCACTTGTGGGCTGTGTAGCTAAGCTCCTTACAGCATTGTCATGTTTAATTCTCATAATGACCACATGGAGTTGGTACTGTCATAACTCCCATATTAAAATGAAGAAACTGTGCCAGAGAGCGGTTAGGCATCTTTTTTCTTTAAACTTAAGACTTTTTAAATTTTATTTTTAGAGGAGAAGGGAGGTAGAGAGGGAGAGAAACAGGCTGCCTCTCAGGGGCCCACTAGTGGGGGCCTGGACTGCAACCGAGACATGTGCCCTAACTGGGAATTGAACCACTGACCCCCTGGTTCACAGGCCAGCGCTCAGTCCACTGAACCACACCAGCCAAGGCTAGGCATCTTGTCTGAAGTTCTATAGCTAGAGAGCAACAGATCCTCATTCCAACCTAGGCAATCTGTTCCAAGGGTGTCAATTCTGAGCCAGTATGTTCTTCTGCCTCAAGACTGAGCACTGCCACCACATGGAAAAAAAATCGGATAAGTATCCTACTTACCCTGAGTCTTCTCTGCTCTAACGCAGAGTACAGCACAACAGTGACAGTGTCACATACTGTGTGAGTGGATGACACGGAGATGCGCTGACCAGATCTGCCTTTAAGGAGGGACATGCTGCCCAGGTCTGAGTACTGCTGAGAGTGGACCCTCTTGGGGACCATTTCAGCTGCTGAGTTTCCTAGTCCAAGGTCATGCCAGTTCCCAATGACTGATTTAGGATGGTCTATGAAAGTTCAGTCATGTAGGCCCAATAATTCTGAAGGACTGTGCTGGCTCCAGAGCCTGTTGTTGGATCCACACTACAGCTCAAGGTCCCCCTCTGCCCCATCCTGCTTCCTGTCCCTCCTTCTTCAGGTGTCTACTTCCTGGGTATATACCTTAATGGACATACTGCCACTGGGTCTCAGAGCCTGCTTTCCTGGGAACCCACTGGTGACATTAATTTCACTGACCAGAGAAATCTTTGGCCACTCACTTAGCTCTATCTCCTCTGTAACTTCCTTTCACATAATTTTTCTTGGTTTTTTCATGTTCCTGTTAAATATCTAAAAACAAAAATTTCTCAAACGTAGGCTACACAAAGATTCATTCACTTTTTTTATGTTAATATACTCAGAGCAGTTCTAGGTTCACAACAAGACTGAGCAGAAGGTACAGAGATTTTGCCTATATCCCCTGCCACCTTCCCCCATGAATAGCCTCTCCCACTATCAATACCCATTTCCCTTGGTTTTGCTGATAGAGGGCATGGAAGTAAGAACCCTTCAAAACCAAACGTTTTCATTAAAAGACTACATGTGAACTTTTAATTGTTATTTTTAATGTTTGAGGGGTTGACACGATTCCAATAGGCGCTTGCTGTGGGACTTTAGGCAGGATCCTTAAGCTTTTTGAGTCCCAGTATCCTTGTCTCTAAAATTGGAATAATGATTTTTGAGAGGATTAGATAACATCCCAAGTCCAAGCAAAGTGCCTGGAACTTAATAAAAATTCATAAAACAGACATTTTAATGTGAATTCGGCACCACACTGGCCATGGGGTGTATTTGTTTCCTGTGGCTGCTGTAACACAAAAAATAGGTATTTATTCTCTCATGCCCGGAGTCCAAAATCAGTTTCACTCAGCTGAACTCAAGTTGTCAACAGAGCTGTTCTCTCTTTGGAGGCTCTAGGGGAGAATCCTTCCTTGCCTCTCTTCCAGCTTCTGGTGGCTGCTGGCATCTCTTGACTTGTGGCTGCGTCACTCCAATCTCTGCTTCCATGGTCACCTGACCTTATCTGTGCGTGTCAAAACTCCTCTCTGCCTTCCTTTTATAAGGATACATGAGATTGCTGCCAGTGCTCATCCTGATAACCCAGGATAATCTCCTCAAATCAAGATCCTTAGTTAAATCCCATCAGCAAAGACCCTGTTTGCATATACTAGAATATTTCCAGATCCTAGGATTAGGATATAATACCTCGGCTGGGGGATGGGGGCTGTATTTTTCGGCCTACCATATGGGGTGACACAATACCTGTCCTGAATTTTTTTTTACATTTTAAAGACTTTATGTATTTATTTATTTAGATAGAGAAAAAACATCAATCAGTTGCCTCTTGCCCATGCCCTCCTGGACCTGCAACCCAGGCACGTGCTCAGGCCTGAATCAAACTGGCGACCAACGCAAAACCAACTGAGCCACGCTGGTCAGAGTCCTACCCTGTCTTTATAAGCCATGTTCCTCAACATTTCACCCTTGAACCACTGAAATCGTCCCTCCCAGTCTGTCATTGAAAGCCATCTTCCCTATTTTTAAAGAACTGTGCTCCCTCTTTCAGAAGGGACAGTGGTTCCCAAATTTGGGTGTTTCTTTAAGGTCTTACCACTGGACCGAGTTGCTATTTTCGCAGGTATCTTTCCAGGGCTTTAATTCGAGAATGCTCTTTAGCACTGTTTCTCAAACTTACATATTCCAAGCCCCTCTGATTCAGTAGGTGCGGGGTCTGGGAATCCAACATTTTCAAGATGCTCCAGGGAGCTGTTATCGCCAGCTAAGATTTAGGAACATGAATTCCTACAAAGTCCTGAACCAAAACGCTTGAAATAAGAAATTCCTCTTGTAGCCTGCGGGGTGTGTCATGGTTACATGACTGAGCTTTTATTAAAAGGAAAAAAAAAAACATTCTGTAAACGGAACAATCCTATCTGTACAGTACTTACTGAAAGAGTTCCCTAGCAGGAAAACTCCCAATTCCGAATAAAATAAAGGGTGATGACGGCCCGGATTTGGCAATCCTGCTGCTGCTCGTGGGTCTGACTGATCAAGCTCCGGCCGCGCCCTCAGCTAGAGCCAAGCTTTTCCTTCCTAAGAGCAGATCCTCGAGGGGCGCGGTGGTGGTGAGCTGTGCTACCCCAACGCCGGTGGGTGCGTCCTTACAGAGGTAATCAGGCACTGGGGTGGGCCGGGGAGGGGCTTTCAGCGCCACCCCTGCAAGCCGCAGCCATTCCTGAGTGGCGCGGGCAGGGGGCGTGGGGAGACGTAGGTGTATTTATTCTGACATTAGAACAGTGTGCCGTCAGAGCTGTCCGAGGAGCTGTCCTGACCGGGGAGCTGGCTTGCTCTTCCCAACAGGCTAAGAACCCAGCGTCCTTGGTTGGCCAGGTGGGGGCGGCCGTGATGCTGTAGCCTGACGAACTGAAAATATGCGGGAGTTGTGGAAGTCCCTTTGGGGATGACGGGGCGCAGAGTTAGGCTCAGCTGGGAGCGATGAAGGCGCGGTGTCCAGCTCAGCCGTGGGGTCAGGCGGCCGCGGCGTCAGGCTCAGCTGGGAGGTAATAGGAGCGCACAGTCGGGCTCACCTGAAGGTGATGCGAGTGCAGAGTCAAGCTCAGCCGGGAAGTGATGGGAGCGCTGGGTCAGGTTCAGCCGGGCCAGGGCCAGCGGCACAGCAGGGTAGGAGCTCGCAGCTGCAGCTGCAGCTTCGGGCGCTGGTTAGGAAGCCTGCCTGGGCGGCGGTGCGCAGGAGAGAGGTCCCTGGGGGCCGCAGAGACTGACTCTGAGTGCCGTAGCCCGCAGCTCGTGCAGAGCCGGTGTGGCGGGAGGAGCCCTGCGCGGCTGCCGCCTCCTCCGGCCTCAGGCTCCTCCTCTCCCTCCACCTCCTCCGTCCTGCCTGCTCGCCTCCCGGATCCGCAACCCTCGGCCCGGGCGAGCAGGGTAGCTTGTCTGGCTGGCGGAGGCTGAGCGCGACCTTAGCAAGCCGCGGCGCCCGCCGACCAGGGACAAGCGCGACTCCTGGGAACGCGCTCGGCCCGGTGCTGCCGCCTCCTCCCCATTGTCGCGGGGACGCTCGGGCCCGCTCCGCCGGCGCTGCGATTCTCCTCCTCTTCCTCCCGAAGGGGAAGGAGCAGGAAAGCGGTGCAGCTGCTCCGGTATACATCGAGCCGAGGCCCCTGCCCCGGAGGCTAGCGACTGGAAGAGGGGGCGGAGGAGGCGGAGGGAAGGCCGCGTCACCCCAGGGAGGACAGTTTCACCTCCAGGCTGCGGCTGCGGCTGCGGCTGCCAGTTGCGTAAAAGCAGCGGCGGCGGCCGAAGGCGCCAGGGCTCAAGGGACTCCCTGGCCATGGAGAGGAGACCCGAAGCCGAGGACGCCAAGAGCTCGGCTTGGTCTCTTTGGACCTCTGTGTAGGCACCTGAATTAGCCGACGCTAAACCGGAGGGGGAAAGGTAAGAAGAGATGGGGCCACCCGCCCTCCGCCCCACCTCTCTTGCTGCCCCCTGGGGGCCACTGTGAAAACCCGGACTAGGAGCCCCTCTCCACCCCCAGCCCCCCCGCACCTTCCCTGCTCCCGGCGGTTTGGCTTTTGGGCATTTCTGCTGAAGTGGAAACCATCCTCCGGCTCCCCCCACGCCCCCGCAGCACCCTTCCCCCCTTACCGCCGCGCGCCTCCTTTCCCCTCTTCGGATTAGGAGTAACGAGACTACCCCTTCACTATAAGAAAGCGTCTTTGGGAATCTTTGGTCTGTGATTTCTTTCTCTCCCTCTCTCTTTTCATTACGTTTAAGGGGAAGGAAACAATGGACCTTTGAAAGTGTGTGTGAACAGCCTCAAACTTTCTGGAGAGGGCTGGCGTGGAGGAATAAACCCCACAGGAAGCCGCCTACAGTGAAAGGTTGATGGAATGTGTGTTGCAGAGTCTCGGCTTCAGTCCGCGCGCGCCTGTGCCTTTGGGGTGATCTTTGTCTTTTTACTATTCCCTGGGGTTGGTGGGCCCTCGCCCCCACCTCTCTTTCTGTTAAAGCGAGGCTTTAAAATCGTGTGCAGCTTAGCACGGGGCACCAGCCTCAGCTTTCCAAGGCAGAGTTGTGAGGTCTTGGCAAAGTGGGGGGAGGGACCCTGAGGATCCCAAAATAATGCAGTTAATGCTAGTTGCTACATCCCTTGCGGTAGAACCTAGGACCTGACATCCCTTGATGCTCTCTGCTGAAGGTTGATGTGTGTCACCAGACCTGGCGGTGGAGCAGAAGTCTCTCACTTAAATTCTCTGCGTAACGTTAGGAAAACAGGCTTTGATACATGTCCCCTTTCTTCGGCAGTAAGGGTTAGGAATAGAGTACTTAATGATAAGAACTTTCATTATGCATAGGAGCCACTCACTGGCCTGTGTTCACCCTTCTTGCTTGGGGGTGGCAATGTGATGTTGCATAATTGCACGTGTAGAGCCTACGTAGCTGTCTTCCTGACCTCTTACCAGAACAAAGTGAGAAGAACTTAGAGGAAGGGGGTTGGAGGAAGGTTTCACCTGACCTGAGGGAGGGCCTGAATCTTCATGAGAGCCAGGCATACCTGTTGGAAATAACTCTGTGTTAAAAACAAACACAGTTAAATGCTTCAGCCTTAAGGTTATTTGGTTGGCTAGAATGGAGCTGTTACTGTTTCTTTAACCCTTGAAGGAAGCTTGCTGTTTTCCAAGTGGGTCTGGGCATCATACTCTGCTTGTGTGCCTTTGATTGGCTATTCAAAGGGCTCTTTTGAGGTTTGCATTTATGGGCAAAGCTGAAGAAAGGGCTGTATGTGCTTCCTCTGCTTAGTAAACATTAAGTGCAGCACCTTTTGGTGCTTTACATTAAAATCACTTCCCTTGATTTCTGTGTATCTGCTCTATAGTATCACAGTGCTTGGGAGTGAAACTGGGAAGTCACTTTTCTGGCTTTCAAGTCAGGCCCCCTAATGTTTTTTATCTGATGAATGTGTGTTTACAGGCTCAGATAATTGAGATTGGAAGTGAATTCTGAGTCATCACTTGTTCTACTTTAACAGTCTGTGCCAGAGCGAGCAAGCTGAGGACTAGTCACTGTGTGTGGACAGGGAAGTTGAATCAATGAATCGTACGTGATGTCCCTTGTGACAGCTAATTGAGTAAAGCCTCCCTTCTTGATCTGGCCTGTAACCCACAGATTTTCGGAAGTCTCCGGTTTCACAACTGGGAACCAGAATGGGACAACACCTTATTCATGTTCTAATAGACCTAATCAAGCCTATGTTTGAGCAGCTACCTTGGATATAGAAGAGAACAGCAAGAGAGTCAAGTAGTTGTGGGCCATACTGAAGTTGAAATGCTGCTACTTACTAGCTAGGCACCTCTGGGCAAGTTTCTGAAGTTGAGAATGATGATGTGATGAACTACACTAAAGGAAATTTAAAAATTATTTTTATTTATTGATAGAACAAGAGATAGAGAAATAGAGCAAGCGAGCCATTTGTTATTCCACTTACGTGTGCATTCAATGGTTGCTTCTTGTATGTGCTGTGACTGGGGACTGAATCCGCAGTCTTGGCATATGAGATGACTCTAACCAACTGAGCTACCTGGCCAGGGCCACTAAAGAAAATTTAAATGATCACTATTAAATTCACAGTTTAAGGCTCACTTGGGACACTGTATGTAAATGTGTAGCTTGTAAAGTGCTGTAAAATATGAATATTGCATCATGCACCCTCCCACACACCATCCATTTAACTAACAATTATTCATCACCTATTGTGTGTCAGACTCAACAGAAACAAACTGAATGCCTTCCAGTTCTGTGGCGTGTTCTTGTTGTTTGAGAGGGGGAGTTGGATGGAGTGGTTGAAGCTATGGAGGTGGCAGGGAGCCATGGTAATGTGTGGTGGCTTCCATCTATAAAGGCAGATGAGACAATCTCTGCTATTGAAAAAAATGAGTCTAGCCAAGGAGAAAAGGAAATGCACAATGAGAAGGCCCAGTAAGTGTGTGTTTAGAGTATTATGTGTAGAATGCTTTGAGAACCCAAAGGAGGACCAGAGTTTTTTTGGGGGGGAGAGGGCAGAGGAATTTAGTGAAAAATAAAATTTCCTAAATTAGACAAAATAGTAGGGACTGAAAACTCATCAAAAATACCATTTCGAAATGTAAAGATTAGAGGACTTGAAATAAGAACTGAGTTTAAAATAAGGCTCTGACAGTTGCTAACCATTTGTTATTGGGCAAATCCCCCAATTTTTCACACTTTGCTTTTTCATCTCTAAAATTAGTTTAGAACACTTAATGGAATTCTTTGAGGATTAACTCAGATTTAACCTGCTGTGTATATGATAAAGTACCATACAAACTAGTGTCTTTTGGTATCAGAAGGTACTTTGAAAATATGTTCTTTTTAAATATGTAAATAAATACAAGTCATGATTTAGTTTGATGGATGTCAGTCACAGATTTCTGTTTTGTTTGACTAGTGCAAGTCTTCAGACTTGAGGTTAGCCCTTGTCATATGGTGTTCCTCACTTGTTCAGGCATCCCGGCCTTTGGAAAGCTTTTCATTGCATTTGGCTTGGAGCACTGCTTGGAAGGATGGGCTGTGCAGTGTAGTACATCAGTTAAGAGGAGCTTGTCTGGGTCTGTTCTGTGACTTCCATAGCTTTCCTCTATCCTAGAAAGATGAATATAAAAAAGGAAGAGAAAGCTATGCACTTGCATTGTTGAGACCATAATATCATCCTTGCTAGATGGGTACTAGACTTTTTGGGGTGATCATTTCATTAGGTCTCTAAATGTCTAATCACTGTGTTGAACACCCGAAACAAATAAAATTGTATCTCAGCTGTGACTGAAAAAGAAATTGATAAAATCACCCTAGTTTAACTAGTTTTCTCCATTTGTAAAGAGATGTAATTTTCAACTACACTGAAAGAAATGCTGTTCTCTCAATAATAGCAGCTGCTGTCTAGGTGAAACTTGACTCTCTAAGCACTACTTATTTAACATACGTGCCTTACTTCTTGTCTTGAAATGGACTGAAGCTCATCTGACATTTAATGAATGGCCTTTGGTAGAAATCCATACTCAGATGTTTAAAATTGTCATATTCAATGTGACTTTTCTGGGGAGGAGGGCAGTATGAATGTAACTCAGTTTTCAAGTTTGT